GTGTCTTCGGTAAGCCTGACATTTTCCTGGCACAAGTTTCTATTTCATGTTCCACCAGATTCCTTCCCTCGGGATTCTGTCAAATTCTTTCTGCAGGTCTAGGAACGCGATGTGAATGTCTTGTCTGCCTTTCTGTATGTTTCTTTCAAAGCCAAATTGCTTCATGGTGATGTCGACTTTCCTCAGTCTTTTGTCCAATACCCTCTCATATAGCTTCTTGGCGTGACTAAGCAATTTATTTCCCCGGTAGTTTTCACAGATGAGTATGCCCTCTTTCATTTCGTGCATTGACATAAAAATACTCTGCCTTCATGATTCCTACCATTTTCTTACATTCCATAATTTTGTTGAATAGCGCACAGAGTCAAACCTCGCGTTTTTCCCGGTACTTTCCAAGCTTCTATGGGAACTCCGTCCGGGCCAGGAGTTTTTTATTTTTCATTTTGCTTAAGGCTTGTTCCATTTCCTCCGGTGGGATCTTTCCGACTAGCCCCTGGTTTAATGGGATCTCTTCCGAGACCTCTCTGGGATGTTCTTCGTTTAGTAGCATTTGGAAGTGCCTTCATCATCGGTTGCGTATATTTTTCTCATCGGTCAGCACCATTCCGCTTTCGTCTTTTATGCACTTCACATTATCGACGTTTGTTGTTCTTCATTCTCTGGTTTTTGCTATGTGGTACATGTCTTTCTCCCCATCCTTTGTTGCCAGTTTTTCGTATAAGCTTTAGCACGTTGTAGACTTTGCTTCAGCGACAACTTTCTTTGCAGCCCTCTTTGACATGGCATATTTTGCTGTCTTCCACACTGTTTGATAGTTGCCATTTCTTGACCAGCGTTTTCTTCTGTCGTAGGGTCGCCTGAATATCCGCATTCCACCACCACGTTTCTTTCTAAATGTATTGTGCCTTTTGTTTCTCCGACTAAGCCTCTGGCATTCCCTAAGATTATGTTGGCCATCGCTCCCATACTTCGTCCGCCTTCCTATTCCGGTCTTCCTTCGTCATTTTTCTCGTAACTTCCATTTTGAACGCTTCTCTGAGCTTCCTTTCGAGCTTCCACCACTGTATCTTCGGGGCTGTCGTCGTGCCCATCTTCTGAATGGGAGAAAGTGGTCTAGGGCCAGTAGCCGGTGCTGGCTTGTGATAGTTTCCGCGGGGATAACCTTGCAATCTGTGACATTCTTACGTTCGTCTCTTCGGAGCAGAAAGTAGTCGATCAGACTTTGTTTCTGCCCGCTTTCGTAGGTTACGAGGTGATTTTCTCTTTTCTGGAAAAACTTGTTTATCAGAGCCAGATCATATGCAACTTCCACTTGCAAGATGTTCTCTCCTTTATTGAACATATCATGTCCATTTCACCATGGATCCTGTCGTAAACCCTTCGATGTTTTTGGACGTGCCCATTAAGGTCACTCCGATTATCACTTTTTCGTTTCACGGTTTGTTTTGCAGTGCAATGTCTAGGCTCTCCCAGAATGTGGAGTTTTCGGCTTCATTCTGGCCAGTCTGGGAGAGGGGAGGGAGACATTATATTTAAGATACCACTTTCTAAAGTCAACTTAACGCTCATGATTCTGTCGTTTTTTCGGTTGACTTCGAATACCTTATTTTTGATCTCTTCAT